TAGAAGTTTCATTGGGGATTTAGGTTGAGTAGGACTAGATAACACGAGTGTTGATATGGTTAACCACTGACTGTATTGAATTATATTGTTACCATTTTGTGAAACGATTTTATTTTAAAACGATTGATTATTTCATTTCAATCCCGTGGGTTAGTGGTGACTTATTTTTATTATAAACTGCTTGTTCCAAACTCAATCTCTTGTAGTGTTGGGTTGTGATAACTGCCAAAATGTTGAAAAACAGAGTGATGAATATGTCTGACAATTCGTTATTTTGAATTTTTCTTCCGGCTAATAAGTAATAATGAATTCCATAACATAATAAATGTTCCATATGTAACTGTGACTAACCGTTGTGGTTCTCATTTCATTATAAATTGCAGGACTTTGTCTAAATATTAATTCAGGTGTTCGGAGGGTGACATATTTACTTGATTAGTGTCGACTGTGAATATTATGTATTTTTTCAGCGTGAACTTCTGCTAAATATTAATTAAATATACAAAGCTCACCAGAAAACTTATTCTGAGTGAACCACTCTTGACAATTTCAATTAATCCTATAAAAGTGTCTCATCAAACAGTATCTGATCGCTAGTTAATTCTATACAGATTGAATAAACCAGAACGTAAAGGGGGTAAGGAATTAAACCTTGCTTATTAAGCTAACTATTAAAAATCTATGTCGTGTCAATACTTAAAGCATTCTCCTCCTTTCGATTAACACTTTATCACAGTCGACATCCAGCTTATCGTTAGTTCTTAACTTCACAAGAGTCTTCAAGGGTCCTTCTCAGTCGTACTTCTTCAACAATCTGGATTTTATTGTGACTTCACGTCAGTCAACTTTATTACATCATATTTCATCGCGTCATTCTAATACTACCTACAATAATGAGCTCTTCTGTTAGTTATTCACTTTTCACGACTAAACAAATGGATGAATCTTCTGAGTTTGTTAATTCACAGTTCGTTCCTTACTTCCGATAAACACCTAATACTTTTATCACTATTATTAAACACTAATCGAGATAGCATATATGTTAGGATCAACAACGATTATCTTATTGGGTTCGTAAATTTTTTCTACTCCCCTATGTGTTAATACGATTACTGGCACATTAGAAATATTCAGTCACTGTATTACGTAATCGGGTCTATCATAATAGATGAAATATGATCTTGCGTAATAAGTGTGAACAGTGAAGATGACCTATGACTATTCATTATCACTGCTTCAATTAGTGGATAATTTCTTCAAAAAAATGAGATGGGAATGCAAACCTCTTAATCCCGATGGGATTTATTTTATCATGTAATAATTATTTTGCCTCTGATAATATAATTATAAGATACAACAGAAAATGAACTAAGAATGACTTATCTATTCTCACCAACTAAAAAGTAATTATTCTTCTCACCCAGAAAGAATATTAGTCAAATGGATTAGATATTATAATTTATTAGTATTTAAGTGTTAGTCGATAAATAATCCCAAAACACTTCTACCATAAACTAGTTCGTGTTATAAATCCATCAGAAGACCAGGAAGCGATAGACTTTTATCTTATCTGGGCCTACAATGTCAGAATGTTTACATATATGAACCCAATACTTTTGTCTTTCATAGTGGACACGTTGTTATTTACTGGTCAGGTTGTAAACTGGTTATTCCTATTTCGAAGAATTCTTACTACACTGTAGTATCTGTTCTCACTTCTTAAGTTTGTGTTTGACGAAAATTACTTTAAAATCCTTTAATTTTCTGCGAACTACACAACATGAACGGGAAACAGGTAGAAAACAGAAAGCTTTCTGCAAAATGCACTTCTCCAGCAGCCTACGAGTGGCATATTCTTGCAAAAAACTATTCAGCTAGAAAGTGAAAGACAAATTGTCACATTAGGCCACTTAGGCGTGCATATACCAATTTGCATGCTCTTGAAGAGCTGAGAGCATTGGCTTGTAAAACGCTCTCGAGAACACTATCCAGTTTGACTAGCAAAGGGAGAAGGCAAGTGTGCACATAGCTCAGTAACAGAAAATCTGATGATCTCAGGACATTCAGCTCCATTTGAAAAGTTCTTCAAAGTCGTTTGTAAGATCTGACAAAGCTTCTTAAAGTGAGTGAAATCAAGGCATCTGAGCATAGCTAAGGCACTAGCAACCCAACAGTTTCAAACTAAGCCAAGTATTCAAATGAAATACGTCCAACCGTTGTCTCTACCATGACCATGATAACCAGTCACTTCTATCGATAGTGATTATCTCAATACATTTTTTCTCCAAATTTACTATTTATTTCTGTTATTTTCACGTTTCTTAATCCCTATTTGCTCTACTATGCTTTTCTATCCAAATACCTGTTTATTTTGTTGTCACCGCGTTTTTAATCGCTGAATGAACAAATATATTTGATAAAAATAAATAAACATCATTTTGTCACTCTTAAATACATGAGAATGATAAACATTTTTCACACATAACTTTAAACCGAAGAGAAAAGATATGAAACAAATAATGTTAGGATGAAAAAATCTCCCAATCCTTGATTCCCAGGTGAAACCAAATTGACATTTATATTATAGAGATCTCTTATAACAGATTGTTTGAAATAAATTTGTAAAAACTAAATCTCAGATCTCTATTCTAACAGACATGGACTCTATTTAAACCAGTACATAAACTAATTACAAACTAACCATTGTGAGAATTGTCTGCTTCCATCCTAAAATCCGTTAGTGCAAAGAAAGTACCCCTTTTTTCTTAGATTTTCCATTTGATGAAAAAAAAATGTATTAAAGTTCAGACTTCATTTAGTAAAGTTGGTTAATGCACAGCTCTTGATTTACTGGTTCTACTGACTATTTCCGCTATTGACTTCACAAATTCTTGCAATATTTCTTTTCAACTAAAGGCTTGCTTCTTCTGACTTTATATTTGATATCGGTATCTTACTCCTTTTTATTCGGATATTATTTTTCATTTTCACTTTACGGTATTATATTTTAATGTTGTCTTCTTCAATTGGGTCCTTGATTGCCTATAATCTCTCATCTCCTCCTCATACGATCTCCCCCATGTCACTTCGCCTAATTTACTAGCGCGCTAGTTTTCTAGCCGGTCCCAAACAGGGTAAAGAGGGAGGGTTGGGTGTGGAGCTAGCAAACCCACCCCATGAAATCAATCAAACTGCTTCAGAAACTTCATTTTACAGACTTGTGATTCATCAAGAAGAATGTGATGAAATACAGTGAATATCCCATATTGAATATACATTAACCCTATATACAAAATAATTCTGTCTCTAAATTTTCTTTTTGCTTTATTCTGAAAAGTACATTTACATACATGCGGAATTTCCAGTGAACTTCACATCGAGGTGTTTACTGTTTGTGCAGAATCTTCAAACAATATAATAACGCGTAATACATCGTCTGAGATAATATCGTTTCACCCGAAACATGTTCCAACACTACTCCACAATGTGTTTCCTTCAAAAGATTCCTATTGATAGGTGGAAACTTACTTGAAATTGTGCGCGAGTGAAGATTGAGAACTATTGCGGCAATCAGATAATTAAAACAATGCATTTTTGGTGCATAGGAGATTTAGGAAGCCCAGTAATTTAAGGAGACCACCAAAATGATCTTTTTCAGATTAGTAGAGCTCAAGATATTTCTTGGCGTCGGTTGCACAGTGGTTAGGACGCTCGCTGACCATGCACATGGTCCGGGGTTCGATCCCCGGCCCACGCACTCCTATACCTCGCTAAGCTAGTAATAGAACTGGCAAAGAGGGAAGGTTGGGCATGAGGCTAGCAACCCATCCTGTAAAAATAAACACTGCTACAGAAACTTCAAGCCTTTAGCTTGAAGTCCTATGTTCCACTGGGAACGTGAAGGAATAAAAAATGAAATGATATTTCTTAAGTTACCTTTATAAAAAAAATCATGTCTACTGCCTGATTTATCCTAGTGTATTGCTTGGTAGACAGAGTGAGGATGATAACGTCATTCCCTAACTTCATCACGTGATTTTATTAATTGCACATAAAGTTTAGTTAAAAAGCTTAAAGGAAAGACTACCCCTTCAAATTGATATCCCGAAATATGAAATGAAATTTTATTTAACTGAAGCAGTTAATGGGGTACAGTTAAGCACGTACATGGGAAGAGTTACTTGCAAGATGACATCTTGCCAATACTGACCCGAAAATGTTGCTTCTCATGCTGGCACAATCACAACACTTGCTTTATCTTCTGATTTACTTTAGGATGTCAATTAATTCTGACCTTAAATCTGTTGCTTTAATTAAGACACTGATGAAGGGATTATGTACGTGATAAAAATGTGTGCTTTTTTTCTTAATGAGGAAACTTTTTATGCGCAAAGACTGAAAACTATACAAAAAGAAGTAGTTTATTTTGTTTAAGTTAGATTTAACCACATAAGAAAACGGTAATACTTTCCTATTTTTATCTTAGATAATAAAGAGATATTCCTAACTTTATTTTCTGAATCTAAAATAACAGGAAAGATGAAGACTTGAACGGCATTGTAATGTAGACTAGAAAAGCATCTAATTACTATTGGACAGGAAATATATCGTAAAGTTAGATAGATAAAGAGGAAATACATTTAGACAAATGACTGACATTTGGTTTTGCGTTCCTCAACTATTTTATTAGCTAAATTATCCTTCTTCCAGTTAAATGAATGTGACTTAAGACTGATTATCTGACAACTGTTGGTTCTGATCTTCCTGTTACTACCCCAATCCACTATTCAACTCCAAATTATTTCACTACTGTGTTAATTTTAATCTATCGTGACCTCAGTCTAAAAAACTAATAGTATTCTTTACTTTAAAACAACTTTTATTTTAGCAGAACCCTAAATCATAATTTTCTTTCATGGGCATTCACTTTTCATTTGTTTTTATCTTTTAAACATTGTTATTAATCTTCGATGTTCTTTGTTTTTGTCTTTTTCTAACAGAACCATTACCGGGAACAAAATCAAGAATTTGGACGGAAATAGTTTTCGAGGTCTTATTCATTTGAAAACACTGTAAGTAGCACTAAAAAACAATTTCTATTTTAATTCAAAAGAAAGTGAAACAAACCTGTAGATGAAAAATATCTAAGAAACAGATGTGAATTGACTCCAGGAAAGTGTTATGATAATAAGGTTGAGAGAGGTGTTTTCGTCTACAATAAAATGAAATATATGCAAGATACTGAACTCGAAACATATCTGATTATAAGTAATTTTTTTCAAAGCAACATAAGCTAACAAAACCTATTCAATGAACAGTATTCAAAGTGTCAGTTCAGTTCTAGTTTTGCTAGGTTTTTTAACAGTATATCACTGTTACTTAGGGTGAAAAGGTGCCTATCATTAACAACGAGCTACGTATCCTAATTTCCTCCTGGGGATACATATTCGTTTGAAGGTGCAGTTATCTCTTACTGACGAATAGCAGTTGGTCAGAAGTATGGGTTTTCTTAATTTTGCTCCGGAAATTAGAATGCTATGAATGCTACCATAGTGCATGAAGGCGCATAGATAAGTCATTATTTTGTAAACTCTGAATTGATAATCTGTAAACAGCACAGTCGGTCGATGGTAAATTTCAAGAGGACACCACTTTAATGGGTTTCTCCAGAATTCCAAAATCGGAATTAGTGACAGTAAGAGAGTAAGTATTTTCAAATCATACACAGAAATACACTTTTAGTAAATGCCTGCCTGTAAATTCGAAATTTAGATTCAGCGCTATGCTATAAAAAACTTTAACAAGTAAATAGAATCGTTAAAAGACAAAATCCGTTAGTATACATTTGTCAGCACATGATCTTTTCATCGTCTATCTCCACCAGATAAATACACTACTACAGTGAAATGGAGATGTAATCTATCTAGTCTCACAATTTTAATCCGGTTTCATTTGTTTTAGTGAATTCCTAAACCTAATTAATTCAATGAAATATGAATAAATGTTGTTATACGAAGATGTAAATACGCAAATTCATAAAATACTAAAAATCGCACTACCAGTTTATCCTCAAAAACTGGAGGTATTCGTATTTGGGGTTGAAAGCATCGTAAAAGATAAAAATGAGATTAAACTCAGGTCACATAATTACTGAAAATGCTTACAATGGAAAAGAAATGAGAAGTACAGCAGGTCGTGTGTGAGGACAAATACTTGACAATAAAAATATCTAGAGGTCGTCCTTTATCGTGAATCGGTAGGAATTGGAATTAATAGGTCATTGAGTTAGGTCGCAGTGGCTTAATGATCTGCGAGCTCGCCTTGTAATCGGAAGGTCCTAGGTTCAAACTCTGGCGGTGAGTACGTACCGATGAGGAGTTTCAAACTAGGACGAAACAGTTGGCCAGTGCTCCCAGGTTTTCCAATGATCCTCTAAGCGATGTCAGCTCATGACGAAATCCTTAAACAGAACATTGATTAACCCATTAGTGAACTAATTAAAAGATATTTTATAAATGTTGTGCCTGATTATACAATCAGTCGATTGTATAGTCTTTAGTATTCTGCCACTATAACCTTATGTTCAACTTATTATGTAAAATGGAAATGAAATACTCAGACATTTGTTTCAATTTATTACAGTAGCACACCTGCAGAAAGAGTTATTATAAATTTATTTTACATTCACATTATTCTGTTTGCTAAACATATCACCTGCGTATTTAGTGATAGGTTAGATAAAGGAAGATAGAAAAGTGATATTACTACTAATGAAAGATGTAAAGTGCTACATGGGAAAGATGATGAAGAAAGTTGAAGTTAATAATTGAACGTGATGCAGCAATTAGGAATGGGATCCTTCTCAAACCATATCTAAAAAGCCCTGCAATCATCAGCTACCGTTAGAAATAGTGGATGAAGTTGATAAATTGCATTACAGGGACGTTGCGGAAGATCAACTACTTTACTATCTCAAATGGGTACTCATGATTGTCTAGGCTGACAAGAGAAAAAGCGGATCTACCAGATGTTTGAATCGCTAATAGTGATAGGAAGTGAGTTCATTTATACTACTGAAACCACTGTTCAAATATTATGGCTGTCTCCAAACTCTGAAGAAGCCCAGTCGAAAGGTCCACTTTTCACGGGATGTTTATTCATTTAAATCATAACTTCTTTAAATTCTTGAAAGTTATTCCCACTCCGCTTCAGAAGAATGGAAGAAGAACTGTGGCTTTGATTGCATGTTGCAGCCAACTTATTCATTCAAGGTTCATAAAGTAGTAAGCTAAACATTGTGTGTTATTGGGATGAACATTAAATAAATCAGTAACCTGTATATAGAGCCACTTGGTAAGGCTTTAATAAAAATTACCAAATCAAGTGTCAACTGTTAGAAGACATTTATAAATCTGTTTATGTTTATGCATGCCTGCAAAAATATTAAAGCAGAACCTAGAAACTGTTTAGACTATGTTCCGTCTATCATGATTATTCATATGATTATTGCGGTAATGAAAATTAATTTATTCAGTCTGCATCACTTTAATAAAGGCGAAAAATAGAAAAGTATTGACTAGTTGGTTACAGATGAAACAATGAAAAAAATCAAAAACCAGAAATTAGCGTTTGTCGCAGTACAGTAACTAACGTGACTTAGTTACCTGCAATCAATTAAGTCGAAAGACATACATTTTCTCTGACAATTTAGCTGCAATAGTGATGCGGGAGATATTCGTTGCAACTAACTTTAAGTACTGACGTTTGTTCAACTAAAGATAAGTTGCGTGTTGTAGACAAAAAGCTAGCAAACCACACAAATTTATTTCTATGATTACTTCCAGGTACTTAGTAACCCATGAATCTAAGCGCATTAACCTGGATATACTCTTTAATGCTTTTGCATTCCAGTTTTAGAAACTGCCTTTCAAGAAGTTACATGAACACAGATTTTAATAAGCCTAAAGTCAATATTCATATAATAAAATTTAATATCAGTGATCGTCAGTAGCAATAAGTTCAACGTGTTCACATTCCTATATAAACATTTTTTCAGTGAATCACATGGACCGTATTCAGCATTTTATACCAATTAACACCGGGACTATTGCTTCACAGTGCACGTAAATTCTGAACACTACAGGAAGTTCAAGTATTGGTTTGTAGGGATTTGGTTGATTGGTTACAGGATTTCATCATGAGCTGACATTGGTTAGAGAACCACTGGAAAATCTGGTAGTACTGGACAGCTGTTTTGTCCAGTTTCGAACCCAGGTGGGTGCGTACTGGTGGAGAGTCCCAAACTAGGACAGCCTTAGTAATTGAATATGGATTACCCCGTTGATTAAGTAATGGTTCTCTCCAAAGACAGATGAAATGTAATTGAGACGCATATATTATTATTAATCTCTTGGGTTCCCAGTGGAACAACAACAAATCTCCACTTTGTTCTGTTTGACGTTGTCCTCTTCATCTGGGTTCACGATTGACCATAGTCTCTCATCTCCTCCTCCAACTCACACGATCTCCTCCATGTCACCCTCGCATCGACGACCTACTTGTTGCTCTCCATTGGGATTCCACTCGAGCAATGGCCTGGCGCGTGATGTCATTTGATGGCCTTCTCAACGTATGCCCAATCCATCCTCATTTTCTCCCACATATATGTTGAGCATAAGGTTCGTGGCTGACTTGTTCCCAGAGTTTCTTGTTGATAATTCTTTCTGACAGACCATTTGTTCTTTAATATGGAACCAGAGAAAATGGAAGCTATCGATAAAAGTTTGTACCTTGTTAGGAATCCTTTTTGTGACGCATAGTGCAAGTTTATGACCTCTACAGAAGCTGACTTCAAACAATCCGAATTTTGTTTTTTATGCCGAGGTGGAGTGCAGAAGATTTCCAAACTGGTTTCAGGTTGATGAAGGCGCATCTTTCCTTTGCGATTCTGGCTGACTGGCTTTTACACATCTTCACCCATTCCGTACAAGTATATAATTATTGTCATTTTGATACAGTACAAACTTCTGAGAATAATTTATTAACACAGGGCTCATATGAATATTTACTAGCATAACTATTTCATGTTTACTACTACTACTACTATTATCATTCAGTTATTAAGAAAAATGAACATATAATAAAGTATTTATTTTTGTTTTATTTTAATATATATTTTCAGAATTTTATCAAACAATGGAATTGAGAATATTGAATCGGATGCATTCAATCAACTTATCAATTTGCGTCGTTTGTAAGTATTATATAATGGTAGTTTACATCTGTGCTTACCACTAGAATTCCTTGAAGATTGTATAAGACTTCGTAATTCATTCTAATGATTCTTTCAAGAAGGTGTTCGATTTTGAAAGGTTACCTCAATATAAATTACACCAGTGCTACTTTGTCTACTAACTGTAATGTTCTTTACTAAAGGAATGCACAAAATGTCGTGTTAGAAGCATGTTTCTTTTAATCACATTGTAGAGAAGACTGTGTTTCTACCAGAGTAGCTTGTAAATGCCTCAGAATATCTGTTTGTTTTCCCTATGCAAATGATAAAACTAGATTATTCCAGTGTATAGATTCACTTTGAATAATAATGACAATGTAAATAGTTAGAATTTAGTGAAGGCCAATATATAATTAAATACAACTCTCTTATGAAACACTTAACTTTTGGTTATTACAGTAGTGAATTTATAATTCACAAATATAAAGTATTCAAGATATCCCAGTAGATTCTTATGTCTTTCTCTTAATGGATCTTTGACAGGCGGAAATCTATGGCAGAGTGGGGCTCTCCATTGTCTATTTCACTCAACAGTCAATCAGCCATTATCTGTCTCCAGTTGGCTGAGATTCTTAAAATTAGGATTAAAATATCTAGTTTTGCATTTGCTGTGTTTATGACAAATGGGCACTTACATGAAACTCAGGAAATTCAAGCGTGATAAATTGCAATAAAGACGTTGGTCAGTGGTCGGGTATCCTAGGTAAACTCTATAGAGTAAGTAGAAGGTACATTAGTCCAAATTTTATCGTTACTCAAACGGTTTTTAACACACTTTAGCAGATATACGCGTAAAGTGTCGTATAGTAATAAACTGAGTATGGCTTTCCTAGGTGGTTAGAGAAATCTTTCATTGATTACTCCTGCAGTATACAAGAATCAGCAAATATTGTTTCATCGGTCGTATGTTAATCCCTTTCAAAGCACATTGTGTTCCACAGTTCTTTTGTAATTCACATTTAAAAGTGATATTGAGATCAGTATATAAAACCGTATTCTATTAACACAAACAGATACTTGTTTATAATTATAAATGATCGTAAATTGTCTTCGCAATACTCATGCTATTCACCGGTTTTCATCGAATACTTTTTCTTGTGTTTTAGGAAACTGAACTCCAATCTTCTTCACACTCTTCCGGAGAATGTGTTTGCTCCCCTGAAGCAGCTACAACGTCTGTGAGTTGCTTTCACATTTTATAAAATCAACATACTTAACACGTACATGAAATGTTTATTTTACATAACTTATATTATTATTATTGTTCCCTTGGGTTCCTAGTGGAACATAGGGCTTCAACTGCACGTCTCCACTTGCTTCTGTCTTCTGCTGTACTTTTCACCTGCATCCATGTTAACCCATACTGTTTCAACTCTTCTTCACACGATCTCCTCCATGTCACCCTTGGACGTCACACTCGCCGCTTCCCTTTCGGGTTCCACTCGAGTGATGGCCTGACGCGCGATGTTACCCAGCGGCCTCCTCAGCGAGTGTCCAATCCATCTCCACTTTCTCCTGCATATTTGTTGGGCGATTGGTTCTTGTTTTGTTTGTTCCCATAGTTTCTTGTTTGTGATTCTTTCCGGCCATCTAATCTTCAGTATAGAGCGAAGACAGTGGTTGATAAAGGTCTGCAACTTTACACAATCTTTATTCGTTTTCCCACATATTTAATGCATTGAATCTTTGAAAGCTTTCTTATGACTACTACGAATGTTGTGAAATCGCGTGAATCAAAGAGGTTTAAAGTAAGAAAATTAGTTAACAAAACAGAATATCCTGCATTTTACTTTGTTTTCAAATGACAGGATGCATCAGTTATCAAACACTAGGCATCTAAAAACTTTTCTACCTGATACCTTTAAGGACAAAGTGAAGGATGTAAAACAATGTAGTCCTATAGACAATATTGTATGTAATGCTCAAATGGAAAACAACGAGATTTTTGCCTTCTAATAATAACTAATTGAGACAGCAGTAGCACAGTAAGGAATCAAATTACTAAGGGAATTAATCTGTATAGTGTTGTTGTAAGTCATATGTGTTATAAAAATGGCAGCTGAATGAAGTGATGAGGAAAGATGTAAAGCTTCACGAGTGTTACAGGTCAGACAAACACTAGCTAGATACCATTCTTTATATCGGTGTAGGAATGTTAGCGAAACAATTCCTCTATCTTATATGAAGTGTTCAGAGAGCCAGTTTAAATTTCGTAGTTGAATTCTTTTCTTTCTAGTAAAGAATTTATAGAATCGATTTAAATGAATAAGCCGATTTTTCTGAATACAGCGGGTTTTGAAGTTCCTCATGTTGTAGCCAGTTGGATCTGTAGAGATTCCTACTGATGGTTATCAAATCAAAAAGATCATAACCAGTGGTTGTTAGATTCAGTTATGTCTCAACCTTAGTACTCTTACATATCACTGTCATTACCTCATTATATGAAGCTGGTAAACTTAACCATGGTCATTACCTATTGTGTTATCATCAGTTATTGCACAGATACAACATGTGCCTGGAACACACACTTGAAAGTTTGTTGCAGATAAGCAAAACATGAAGAGGAGGCAGTAATATCTGAGGACAAATCTAACCAATAAGATTTGAATTCGTAACCACTCTCTAATATTTTATACGATAAATAAAGTACAGGGATATTTAAAAATTTATCCAACGAAAACTTTGAGGCTTTTATTTGCGGATATACACATATTAATTGATTTATGAGTATGAAATTCAAATTATACATGTCCAAAAGACTTCAGTTGGCTTATATTGCTATGTGGCTGTGTTCGCTTCCCGTCACAACTACCTACAACACAAACAGCAGTTAAAATGAATTTACCTATGTCTACTTAAATTTACTATGTTATTAACTCATAGACAGAAGTTTAAAAGTGAATTATTTTTTTCAATCTTTTTGCATAAAAAAAAACAAAGTGGGTATTTATGAAATTCACTTTGTTGTCTACGGCGTAGAACTGCAATTAGAAAAGAAAAATTGAGACATTTATGATTAATGATAGCAGTAGAAAACACTTAGATATTTTAAGCAAAGAAATCTATTCCAAGAGCTAAGATGAAAGTTGACAGGCTAATAGTCAGATGACAACTAAGCGAAAAAACTCCAGTAGTCAAAACCGGAGAAAGGTTAATTTTTTAAAAACTTAACAGCTGATATGTTTAAAACTGACTGGTGGATGGTGACTAGCAGTGGGATCCAGGATGCGCATCTCGTCCTATTTGGGACTCGTCACTGGATGTACCTGCATTCCGCAGTGAGTGATGATTTTCCCACCAAGGTTCGAACCCATTGCCCATGATTTCAAACACCACAGAATTATCCACTAGACTACCTGGACCACTAAAGTCGCCTCTTGTGGAACAGGTCATATTAGTTATTTAAATCAATTATAGATTTTCTCGTCGATTGATTGGACCGAAGGGCTCGGTCTCAGGTTGACAAATCGGCTTCGGAATGCAGGTACATCCGGATGACGAGTCCCAAATGGGACGAAATGTGCATCTTGTGTTCAACTGCTAGTCATCACCCACCAATTAACTTCTAATTACATGCCCAGACAAGGTCGAAGCCTCTTCAGAAGCAGCCGATATGTCAACCTGAAACCAAGCACTTCGGTCCAATCAATCGAAGGGAAAATCTAAAATTGAATTAAATAGCTGATATATTTGTTTATATATAAATCGTTTAGAAATAGAAATTAGCAATTTAACAATATCAGATCGATCACATGAGATAAAGCAGACCCATTTGATGTTTATGCTTAGTTTTGAATAACGTTTCCGTTTCTCGGGCATTTCGTGTTTCAGGAATTTAATTTTGGATCTAAGACAAATAAATTTACCTCTTTTAACAAATGATGTCAGTTAGAATAGACATAGGATGAAGAAAGTGGATGGTAATCAAAGCAGTTTATACATTCTTAAAGTCACTGATTTCTGATGGCAGTTTCAAAGTGTATCCAAAGGAATGGGATATCATTGTCTTTAGTTTGTGAACATTTGTTTTATCTAAGAATGATAATGAATGTGTGATTTAACTGGAAATTAATCAGTTAAATGTTTACACTTTATCTATAGAGTTGATGTATGAGTTCAAAAATTTTCATAGATTCCATTATACAAAAATATGCACCTGAAACTTACTGTTCTTTATCTTTCCAATAATACGTCACAAAATCAAATTAGACGCATTATGGCAAGGGTTACATGATTTAATAATTTAATTTCCATATTAAGATTTATATCCTACGGTAAGAGTCTAAAGAAAGCCACTCGACTAATTTGTGACCTCTTATTAAAATGTGGGAATTATTGAAATTTTTAAACAAATCCTAACAAGTTTAAAATTTTCACGCATGTATCGTAGTGTTGGTAACTACTGTTTAACTGATAACAAAATTTTTAAAAAATCACTCAGTGTTTCTTTGAAAATATGGCAGCACTAATTTAGGTTATTTAAATGAATTGAATTAAAATAATGGAGAAGATTTGTAGCTCAGATAGATGATACTGAATTAGCTATTTGTGGAGATATTGCCTTAAAGAGTTCAAACACACTGTATAACTTCTGTGTTGAAAAGAATGGAGAAAAGTATCTACTAACTGTCTTCAAAAAGAATGGATATCCTCAAAATTTCACCAAACTCAAGTCATAACATCAATAACAAGCCAACATCGAAGACCACAAGAAAGTCCATCCTACCATATATAAAAAATATCTCTTAAGTAACAGCTACAATATTAAGACCATTTGAAATCAGTATAACACACAAGCCAGACAGCACAATCACTTCATTCTGTATTGTGCAAACTAAACGATCCAACAGAAAAATAAAATAAAATTAATACCATTTTCAAAATAAACTGTATGAACTGCAATAAACATTACACCGGCTAAAGTGGGCGTCCAATTCGAATCCGAATCCAAGAACACAAATCTGCTGTAAAAATACATGATACATATTCTTTCGTATCGATGCACGTGGGTAATTATGGACACTAATTTGATTGGTATAGTGTGGAAATTTTAATTAGAGGAAACACCAAAAATGCTAGGGAATTTCTAGAAGCCTGGTACTCAAGTGAATCAGCAATTAACAAACACATTACTATAGACCAAATTTATCAGCTAATAAAAAGTAAATCACATAACAAGAAAGTTGGAATTCCAAGTGAATGAAAATAGTCAATAGACAAATTAATAACCAGTCACGAAGATGGTTGCCGTGAGATACAGTAACATCATTCATGGAGAATTTAAATAAGTCCATTGTTGTACTAAAACCTGCACTGAAGGTGTTGTACAGAAGGACGACAATAGCTTCTCAATTGAATCAACCAGCTCAGAGAACACAATTAATTCAAATGAATTTTTTGCTGAAAGAAGACGGCAGAGAAATAAAATGAGGCATAAAATTATAAACTTGCTCTATAATTACTATAGTATACGGCTTTTTAAACTTCTTGGAGTCTTATTCGCCAATTGACGCTAAATTCGAACAAACATTGAAAGATAATCCATAGGAAACATTTTCCATTCCATACTTCGTCCAAATGATAATACATTTAGAATAAAACAAAGTCTCAAACGAATTACAGAATTTGAATATTGTTTTTCTGACCCATGCACATGTTCTCCTTAACTGATTCAGTTTAACCAGAAGCAAAAACGTCAATAACTAACAGGTGATGGTTTTGCTGATCTCTGAGAACTGTTCATCATATTTCGTAATGTATGCAAAAGAGAAAATATTGCTCCTCTTCAATTGGGCATCTGAACTAGCTACGTATAAGCAGACAGCTAATATAAAGCGTATTCAGCTACAAATAAACTAACCGCATCAACCCAGTACTACCAGTTCCTCCTATCTTGAAAAGTAAGACAGTATATCCTTATTTTCGAGAGTGATCTGAAATTGTTCGCATTTTAACTCAGCATATAATGGCTACAACTCATTACCTTGCTAGTTAACTAATATTACGAAACTGCAGGATAAATTATAAGACATTATTTTCAATCACGAAGTAGCTTCTATAACGCTGTCATCGATTAGTTCTTCTCCTTATGCAGGACTTACTGGGCCCTACATATATCGACGATTCTGTAGAACCTGTGTGACATTTCAGGTCTGTGCCTTAAAATTTATTGCAATCT